CCTTGCATCCCAGGGATGAAGCCAACTTGATCATGGTGAATAAGCTTTTTGATGTGCTGCTGGATTTGGTTTGCCAGTATTTTATTGAAAATATTTGCGTCAGTGTTCATCAGGGATATTGGCCTGAAACATTTTTTTCTGTTGTGTCTCTTCCAGGTTTTGGTATCAGGATGATGCTGGCCTCATAAAAAGAGTTAGAGAGGAGTCCCTCTTCTTCTATTGTTTGGGATAGTTTCAGAAGGAATGGTAGCAGCTCCTCTTGTACTTCTGGTAGAATTCTGGTGTGAATCCATCTGGTCCTGGTCGTTTTTGGTTGGTAGGCTATTAATTACTCCCTCAATTTCAGAACTTGTTATTGGTCTATTCATGGATTCAACTTCTTCCTGGTTTAGTCTTGGGAGGGTGTATGTGTCCAGGAATTTATCCATTTATTCCAGATTTTCTAGTTTTTTGGCATAGAGGAGTTTATAGTATTCTTTGGTGGTAGTTTGTATTTCTGTGGGATCAGTGTGATATCCCCTTTCTCATTTTTTATTGGTTTCATTTGATTCTTCTCTCTTTTCCTTTTTATTACAGACTGCCATTTTTATTCCTATCTGATTTTGGTGCAATGAAGATGAGTTTTGAGAATTTACAAATTATAAAATGATGAGCTAGGGAAAAGAAGGACAAGGGCTACAACTATAAACATTAATATGTATTGAATACTGTTAATGTACCAAACAGTGAACTAGATGCACAGGTGAGTAAAACAAGGTAGTGTCCTTGTCCTAATGTTACTTGCTGGGATAGTGGTGGGAGCTAGCAAATAAACAAGTATATGTGTGTGCATGTTATATGTATATTTCTATGTGTATGTGTGTGTGTATTTGTGGGTATATTTATATGTAAAATGTGAATTTCAATAAGTACTGTGAAGGAAAATAAGAAGATGCTAAGAGAGTCACTGAGGGATCCATTCAATTTTGACTCCTAGGGGCAGATTAACTCAAGGGTTAAATTCACAAGCTCTGGACCCAGAAGGCCTGGATTCAAATCCTAGCTTTGCCACTTCTTAACTGTGTCATCTTAGGTGCATTAAGCTTTCTGTGCCTCCCTTCCCTCATCTGTAAAATGAGGATGATAATACCTACTCTATAAAGTTGTTGTGAGGACTAAGTGAATTAACATATGCAAAACGATTAGAACAGAGCCCAGCACAGTGTTACTCTTTTAGTATTATTAGTAGGGGTCAGGGAGAGAGCCTCTTTGAGGAAGTGACAGGGATGATTAGGAGGAGGCCCTGTGAGAGGGTTAGCAAGGTGACCCCAGGCAGAGGGAAGAGCTTCTGAGGTGAGAAGGAGCTTGGCACACTGGAGAAACACAGAAGAAGCCCATCAGCGTGCGCCAAGTAGCCAGAGGATGGATGGAGAGGAGGCTCTAGAGTGGGGACAGAGATCAGATCATGTCAAGATTTGAAGAACATTTTAAGGATTTTGGATTTTATTCTAAATGTGGTGGAAAGTAATGGACATGTTTTACACTGGAAAATGACATAATTTATGCTTTAAAAACAAACACTCTGGCTACCTTGTGGAGACTAGACAGGAGAACTGTAGTAGGGAAACCATGATATCAAGGGCTTGGGGGGCGGCGGAGAGAGAGAGAGAGAGAGAGCGAGAGAGAGAGAGAGAGCGAGCGCACATTAAGGATTTAGCTTCATAATTGTGGGGACTGGCAAGTCTGCAGGGCAATTGGGCTGGAAATTCCAACAGGGGTTGATGAGACAGTCTTGAGTCCAACAGCAATCTGGAGACAGAATTCCCTCCTCTTCAGGGGACCTAGGTCTTTTCTCTTCAGGCCTTCAAACAATTGCATGAAGCCCAGCTATGGAGGGCAATCTGCCAACCTGAAAATCTACTGATTTTAATGTTAATCACATCTGAAAAACACCTTCCCAGCCACTTGTAGATGGGTGTTTGACCAGACAGCTTGACCTCACAGCCTAGCCAAGTGGGAGAAGATGGTGGACTTGGGTGATGACTGGGGATTGAGAGAAGTGACTGCAGTCAAGCTTTAGTTTGAAAATAGAATAAGCAAGCTTGGTGTTGATTGTGAAAGAGGATAAGAAGCAGGAACAATCAAGACTATCCCCTCAATTTCTGGGGTAAGCAAAGAGCACAGCCCTACCTCATCCTTCCAGCCAACTTCAGTGGGTGGGGGAGAGAGGTAGTAGCAGGGCGAGTGGAGAAAGATCGGGGGAAGAAGGAAGAGAGAGAAAGAAACAGTTTGGGTATCTTTAGGTGCAGAGAAGGCAGGAAATGGGGGAGCTTAGTACAGATGCTGAGAAGCGGGTGTTTCACTTGGGAATTGCTATGGCAGACTGAGCAGGGGACATGGCATTCCCCATCAGTGATCTTGTACAATAGTGCCCTCACCTGCTAATAAACATGGTCCAAAGGATGTCAGGAACGACTAGCTCATTCCACTCCAACTCATTTCACCCCAAACTAAAACTAAGTAGTCTGAGTTCAAACTTGCAACTCAGTTTGCCTGCCTCAAAGACCATGCTCTTAATTTTTTTTTTTTTTTTTTTTTTTNTTTTGAGATGGAGTCTCTCTCTGTCACCAGGCTGGAGTGCAGTGGCGTGATCTTGACTCACTGCAACCTCCGCCTCCTGGGTTCAAGCTCAAGCGACTCTTCTGCCTCAGCCTACCAAGTAGCTGGGACTACAGGCGCCCACCACAACGCCTGGCTAAATTTTGTGTTTTTAGTAGAGACAGGGTTTCACCATGTTGGCCAGGATAGTCTTGATCTCTTGACCTTGTGATCTGCCAACCTCAGTTTCCCATAGTGCTGGGATTACAGGCATGAGCCACTGCGCCTGGCCCGTGCGCTTAATTTCTGTACATGCTTCCTCCCTCTGAGAATGAGCACAAGGTAGAGTCTTGATGCCTTAGCCCTGATTTTATACCCTTTGTGTGTTGTGGGTTGGGGAAGGCTAATGTTCTGATCTTAGATTTTTGCCTAGATATAGAACTGAGTCTTCTGAGAACACCTCACATTTCCGATATTTAAGACTTTTACTAAACTTGTAATATTAGGTAACATTTTCTTAGTCTTAATTTGTAACCCCGATTCTTTATATTCCTTCTTGATTAGGAGACACAGGCAATTAAAGCAAACTTATTGAAACAGATTTCGTACTTAGCCTTGTAACAAAATTTCACCCCAAACTAAAAACAACCACTTAACCATATTGAAGAGGTAATTTAGTTTCAGCCCAGCAATTTTGAAATACGTACTTGTATAATAAAATGTAAATTATAGTTATCTCTAGAACTTACTGTGTATATACTTATAATTTTATAATCCATGCTATTAAGGTTGATTTAATATTCTGTTATTTCCAACACATGTTAAATTTCGTTTTTTTAAAATTTGACTTCTGGATTCACGTCAATGACTCTGTGCCCATGTTTCTTGTTCCTTTCTTTATATAGTGGGTGGAGGGGAGATGGCCTTGGGTAGTCTAATTTGTAGCTCTGGCAGTGATGTCTTTTTAACCCCCAGAATATATTTAAGAAACGTGCATGTCAATCATAGTCATATCTAAGGAATAAAAACAATAAAAAAAACAAAGTAGTTGGGGTTGAAACCGAAAAGGCAGACTATCTCTTCCCACTACTCTGTGAATCAGATAGATGGACATGTCTGTGCTTATGCAAACCCATGGTGAGACAGGCAGGGAGGGGTGGGAAGGGGCAGGAGAGAGAGAGAGAGAGAGAACCAGAAAGATCTTCATTGTAAGTATTTCTTATTGGGTCATCTTTAGCTTAACCTTCAACCAGTCTGTTTTATATGTGACCCTCTGCACCCCACTTTTATGTGCTTTTCTCTGCTCAGATGGCGTTAAAAAACTCAGATAACAGTTTCCTTCTAAAAAAGACTTCTAGACTCATTTTTTCCTTTAATCTATACCTGCCAGTTTGGCACAGTATGCCTTTGCTTGATGAAAATCTTTGCTATTAATTAAAGATGCAGCTAATATTTCTGTCATAGGCAACAAGGTGACACAGGGTAACTTTTCATATATCTCTCATGCCTGGGGTGAATGAACACAAAGGTTTCCCTTTCATCTCAAGTTAGAAGATTCCTAATTTTCATGTCAGAATGACACTTTAGCAGAGTTTGTATCTGGTTGAAGGGTGGTGAGTACCAGGATAGCCTGTTCTCCAGTTTTTCCCGCATGCCCTATTCATAAGTGCGACCCCCTCATCTCCCTTCATCCACCTCCAGGTGCTCTGGATGTATTCAGTGTTTCCCTGAATTGATTTGATCCTTAAAGACCCATAGCAGTAATAGATTTATCTTTTCACATTCAAAGCGTACAGCTTATAAAAATTCCCCATTTCATGACTGATAATTTTGTTGTACAACCTTAAATGACTCCAAGCATTGGTCAGGGCATCTAATATTTTCCTGTGACTTTACTTAATTTCCACATTCTAAGCAGCAGCCTGTATGATACATAGCTCCGTGTTCTTTTGGACAATTACATTATGAGCATAGCAGTTAGGACACAGTCAGGAGACAGAGACCATCACTTGTTTTATTTTAAAAGAGAGAATTTAATGTAAAGCATGGTTAACTAAGAAATGAAAGGCAAAATGAATGAAGTTATACCACTGTTAGGGCTGGGGGAACAAGGACCAAAGGTGGGAATTGGAAACCTTAAAAACACAGAAGAGAGATCTCATGGAGCTGAAACTGAGAATTCTGATAAGGAGCTATTGCTTAGCTGGTACTTGTTGCTCTGAGCTGAGAGGAGGTGTCCTGGCTTCTAAGGCAGGGATGCTGGCTGGCTGGTGCTGGTATCTCTGATGGCATGCAAAGGGGCTAGAAGAACAAGTTCCAGGAAAATGCACTGGTTCAGTTGGTGCTCTGGGAAGGAGCTGTACCTGCTGTCATAGAAAAGGAAAGCAGGGTGACACAGAAAGCAAGCAGGAAGGAGCAAATACCTTCTACTCCTCTAGTCTTGCAGTCTCCCTTTAGTTCTCCTATCGGCAGCACCTGACAAGGAGAAGCTGGCAGGGAGTCACAGGACAGAGTACAGAGGGTGAGTTTGGCACTGAGAGGCAGTGGCCTATTACCTAGTACATTGAGCTGTCACTGTACAAATGCTTGTATATGTAAATGACTGTTATTCAAGTTCTGTGATTTCAATGCAATCAGCATGCCACACATAAAGAATGACTGTGATCAAGGTATTTTATCACTTTCAAGTCATGCTTATAAAATGCTCAATAAATGTATTTTTTTTTAAGTGAGAATATTTTGCTGAACACAAGAGGTTTCATCTGGGGATGATTTATGTCAAGACTACATAACCTTACATGATGGTTTTAAAATATGTCCATGAATCTTTCAAAATTGCTCCTTTGAAAGATGGAACCTCATTTCCCTCCCCTTCTTAATTTCCCTCGCCTGGCATGTGCATGGACTTAGTTATTTGCTTTTAACACACAGAATGTACTGGACGTGATGGTGTGTGATTTCTGAGTCTGGATCACAATAGGCACTGTTTCTGCCTTGCCGGCTTGGGTTGCTCTCTACAGGGGGTCACTCATCACTGTGTTTGAGGGCATCCAAGCTGCATGAGGAGAGGCTCACGTAGGGGGAAGCGGAGGTTTGCGGCAGTGACTGGCCAGGCATGTGAGTGAGCCTGCTGGGAGGCAGATCTTCCAGGTCCGGTGAAGTGTGTGGATGACATCAGCTCCAGCCTTCATTTTGACCACAACTCATGAAACGCCCTAAGTCAGAGCCTCCCTCAAAGCTGCTTTTAAATTCCTGAAGTGGAAGTAATACATTTTACTGTTTAAAGTCACTACACTTTTGGGTGATTTGTTATGTAGCAATGGATAATCAATACATCTTGACTTTTGGAAACTATGAGGAAAGATCAATGTTTTAAAAAGATTCATTGTCCTTATTTAGGTAGTTGTTATCATTATTTTTTAAGGGAGTCAGCCTACCAGGACTATAGCTTTTCCAAGGAAGTGTTTATGAATACAACACTGCCATGGGTATTTATAAGCAAGCTCACAGATTCCACACCCATTTTGAAATACACTATCTGACACCTAGCAGTTAGCATAAGATAAAAGGAATTATTTCCCAAGTAAAGCTTTGTTATTGCCTTCATCATCATCATCATCACCATCACTGTCATGAAACATCTAGCTGCAGATAACACCCATAACAGTGTCCCTTTAAATGAGAGAAACCAACCAAAGCTCCCAAAAGGCAACTGCACAGATCCTTATCTACTTATTTTTCCTAATTAAATAATCAAATGGATCTTTTACCTCAAATGTAGATAATATCATAATTCATCAAAATAATTTATAATGATTAACTACCGCTTAAATATTGTCCTATAAATGATGACTTTTGAAGTTAAAAGTGATGTGGAGTCAATCAATTTTTTAAAAATAATCTACCTAGAACATATTAAACAAATGATATTAGAAGTGAAAAAAACTATCTTCTATTAAGTCTTTTAAGAAAGATAATTATGACAAGTTCCTGATCATATAAAAACCATTCCATCATTAAAGGAAATAAAAAGAAGCATCAATAAATTTGAATCGAAATGTACATTTCTTGGGTTGTGCCTTTCTATACAAAGCTGTATCTTCAGAGTTAAAATTAGGTTCTGATTTTCTCTCTATAAGCAAGAAATGACCTGAATGTGTTAGTGAGACATATTTCTTCACCTACTGATGGTCACTCAGTGCTTTCATGTCTATAAGATCTGCTGTGTCACCTTTGCTGACCTTCTCAGGCAGGACCCACAGGAGGACGGGGAAACACCTACCCTCTTCAAGAGGGCTCGACTGAAGTAGGGAATCAGCACAGGGCTTTCCTTGCACTGGCTTCCTTCTTTCTCAAGCACTGCAATGCAGAGGGAAGGCCCAGCCTGATGAGTCACCACCCCAGCCATGATGTCCACCTTAGCCTTCCAAACATCACTGATGTGAGGCAGAACCATCACAGACTGGAATAGCAACAGAACCTTTCTGAACCAGTGGATCCACCACTCCTAGGCCCTGTCCAGCTGACCCCTGGTACACTCGATTATTCTTCCTCCAAGCAATTACTTTCCTCTTGTCTTAAAATCCTTAATATGACAATGCTTATGTTAGTATGATATAGCCAGCATTCCTTGGGAACAGACATTTGTGAGTCAAGGCAAGAGCACTGAATATGTAAGCATTCCATTGAAAATGCTACTGTCAACTCAGCCATTAGCTTCACTTTGCAAATCGATTCTCTTTATTGTTACCCATATTGGATGACAGAATAAAGGGAAGAAATGGAAGAGCTAAGCCTGCTGTGATAACTGCACTCTTCCCCTTCTGCAGAAAATAAAAAATCGTTTTTATCCTTTCATTCCTCTAAGCATGCCACTTCAGAGTGCAGTTCAGCAAAGAACTCAAACGTTAAAAAGCCCGGATGACATTTCCAGAACAATACATTATCCAAGTTTTAAGCCAGGGACAGACAAGGTGACTAATGCCTGGGGGGTTGGTCATATGCCCTGGAAAAGTGTAGAAGTCACAATTTAAAGTGATTCCTCGTGGGGAGCCAGCAACAGGATTTTGAAACCTATGATTTGTTTGCTTTGGAACAAGCCAATCATGGGGCCTTTATCCAACAGTTGCATTCCATGCAGCTAGAAGTAGAACAAGGAAGCATTTTCTTTTTTTTCTATCCTCCAATTTAGGTGGTGCTCAATTGGCTGCTTGGGCTGGGAATACTAGCCTCCCTTACGTATGTGGGTATCAGAGATAAAAAGTACTCTCGCCAGCAATTCCTTACAAAGGAAAGTTGACACTATATTACATGATGTAACTCCTCCTTTTGATTATAGGGCCTTTAGAGGAAGGTCACGTGGACAGTTATTTCTAGTTTAATTTAACATGAGGATAGATAGACACAAGAGGAAGAAGTCACTGCTCATGGCGGAGAGAAAAAGGGCAAGGAGGGAACAGCGAAGTAAGGGATTTGGAATTGCAAATCTGGAGATAAAAGAACAGCTACAGCATGGGCAGTGTCCTGCTGGTCCTCCTCTTACCACTCTGCACACCTGAACCTTCTCCCGCGAGGGACCCTGCACAGCTGCACACACCTCCTGCCTTCTGCCTTGCTCTCTGTATTGGGAATATTGATGAGAAATAACCTGATTATATGTCTAGATTAGCATGAAAATAAGGCAGTTTTCCTTTGAGAAAATAAAAAATAGAAGTAGCGTTTGATTGTTGGTCAGGGAGTCCCTGTGCAGACAGGGCCAAACTCTCTTTTGATGGTCCGCAACAGCCTCTGTTCCAAGGGACCTCACAAATTTGACCTTATGGGAAGGAGATTCGAGAGATGATTAGAAAACTTTGGGGATATCAAATAGTTTAAATCTCTGCTGTAACATACAGAGATATAGTAATGTTGTGCTTAAAAATGCTTTGCTCCAAAAGAGACATTTGACTTTTGTTGTTTTTTGTTTTTTTGAAATGGAGTCACACTTGGTCACCCAGGCTGGAGTGCGGTGCCACAAACTTAGCTCACTGTAACCTCTGCCTCCTGGGTTCTCCTGCCTCGGCCTCCCGAGTAGCTGGGATTACAGGTGCATGCCACTACACCCAGCTATTTTTTGTATTTTTATAGAGGCAGGGTTTCACCACGTTGGCCAGGCTAGTCTCAAACTCCTGACCTCAAATTATCTGTACACCTCAGCCTCCCAAAGTACTGGGATTACAGGCATGAGCCACTGCATCCAGCTAAGACACTGGACTTTGGAGAGCACAATCTGTAGGAGTTTGGATAGGCAGGAGAGATGTCCAAGACAGGCTGCTGGGAGCTGCTAGGGAAGCACCTTAATTTAAATTATGATAGCAGTAATATAGCCTTCAATTTCAAAAGGAAGAAGGCTAAGTTAGAAGGAAAAGGGCTTGTCATTCCTTATTACCGTGGGGTGTAAGAACTGAATGTTTCACATGGCTGAATGATTTTGTCTAATTAAAAATAAAATGAAATTAGTTTGGAAATAAAGCTTTTATACTTTAAAGAGTTTTTTTTTTTCTATCCAGACCAATAATATTTAGTCTTTAATAATGGCTCTTATGTAAGTTCTGGGAATATTTTTGAACTATGGGCTTGTACTAATTGGCAAGATATTGCTGGGTAATTGTTCCGGCTGGCATGCTGCTTCCCTCAGGCATTTCCAACTTTAAGGTTACTCTTTCTCCTTTTCGCTAACTAGGTGCGTTTAGTATTGCAGGGGTATTATAATTGCTGAGCCTTAGTTCCAGCTATTCAGGTGGGTGGTAATCTATAGAAGCCTTCTCGTCTATTTTTATTGGGGTTGAGGCATTACTATAAGTTCCTGGAATTTCCTCATTGGCACCACTATAATGACTTTAGGAATTTTTTTTGTGTTTTCTTATTAAAAGGGAACACATTATCATTGCCACTGAAGAACTTAGAATAGGCCTGGTAAACAGATGTATATGTTTCTTTTTTTTCCAGAGTGTTAGAACAATTTTTGTGGGTACATAGTAGGTATGTATATTTATGGGGTACATGAGATATTTTGATATAGGCATGCAATGTGTAATGATCACATCATGGAAAACAGGGTATCCATCCCCTCAAGCATTTATCCTTTGTGTTACAAACAATCCAATTATATTATTTTAGTTATTTTAAAATATACAATTAAATTGAGGTCTGTAGTCACCTTGTTGTGCTATCAAACACTAGGTCTTATTCATTCTTTCTAAATTTTTTTAGTACCTATTAACCATCACACATCCCCTCCACCCTGCACTACCCCTCCCAGCCTCTGATGTCCATCCTTTTACTTTCTGTCTCCATGTGTTTGATTGTTTTGACATTTAGATCCCACAAATAAGTAAGAACGTGATGTTTGACTGTCTGTGTCTGGCTTCAGATGTATGTTTCTGAATTT